CAGCCAATGGGGTGCAGACGGCTCCTCCTATTGGACCCTGGTAGAGACACCGCACCAATCTGGGTCTGGATTGGAAGCTGTTGGGAGCCCCACTGAGTTCGCTCAGAAAAGAGCAGGAGAGTCGTATAAACAGCAAGGGAACAACCTGACATCCTGATCGCGATCCATCCTGGATCGAGTGCAATTCAAAAAATACCTTCCTAACTTGGAAAAAAAAATTAGTATGATCACTACTTTGATTAACGCGTATCAGATATGCTTAATATCTAAGGAACAATATAACTAACAAAATAAATGTGCCTCAACTGAAACCAGTCAAGTCCACTTTGGACAGTAAATGGTTCCCAATGCCAGAATTTCTGTCACAGAGTGAATTTATATCTCCGGAATGGTCCCAGTTGCAGCAGTGGTTATGAAATTGAATCCACTTACACGGATCACTATTGCCACCCTTGCAGCCGAATTCTATCATTTACTCACGCACCTCTTCACTTTTGACAGCTATTCTCTGAAGTACCTAAACGGCTTATATGAAGCACTGATGTAAAAATTTCGGTTTTATTCTGAATATGTTTGCACTACTGTTACAATGTTTACAAGTTAAAATGTCATAAAAACTTTGCACAAGTTGTACTTTTGGATATTCCTACAAATTGTATTGTTGTTACATACTTAAATCTTTTCTCGTTTTGAAATAAATATTACCAAAAAAAAGAGAGATGCTTAAGGGATCACAGGTATCCAACAGGAAAAACAACACACAAATAAACCCTGTGATATGACATTTAGTAAGAATCATATTGCTTTTTAAACTTTATAAAATTACAAAAATTGTCCAACATTCTCAACTTTGCAATATTGCAAAAAAGTCCGTTCTCAACGAGCACCCGGTTATAAGCCTGTTTCAACAGCAGTCTTCCTCAGGAGTAACCCTATAGTGTAATTTTAAACTTTTAATTATTTAATCTATAGAATTTACCTCTGGTTCCAAGTTAAGTTCTATAGATTAAATAATTAAAAGTTTAAAATAATTATATTCCATTCAGCTTCATGTTGCTTTTCATTTACCATGTTTTTTTCCAGGACATTTTGAAGGAAATAAAGAAGTTTACTCCTATTAATACATTGAACTGGAGTAAGAAGATAACACCTCCTTACGATATAGGATTATAAAGGATCGTTCTAGAACGGGTATTGTCAGGTTTCACAGCCAAACAAAGGAGTACACGCTTATCATAAGGAATGGGCTTCATTCATCACGTGCTAGAATGTGTTTGGAAACCACCGACACCCCTTCTGGTGCCTGGCAACTATTTTTAGACCCTGGCTGAGCCAGTTGGCTGACCCAGCAAGGCTTCTCACTGGCTGTGCAGATTTCTTTTTTTGAAACGTTGCTTTGGTAGCAGCGGCCACCACAGCACAAGGATCTTGTTGTGTGGCATAAAAAGCTGTGGCAGCCATATTGTAGCTGGTGCCACCTCCTTGGCTGCACCCCACCGCCACCACCAGAATGCCAAAGGTGCCCCACAGGCTCAAAAAGGCTGGGGACCCCCATTGAAAGAAAAAGGAGATTAAAACCCACTCTTAACACCATGAAGCCAGGCAGTCCTCAGCCCTTTATGAAGGCCAAGAAAGATCTCTCCTCCCCCCATTCTTGTAGCACCTGTACGCTTCAGGGCTAAAGGGGGGGGGGATGGGTGATGCACTCCCTGGTCCCCACAGAATGTTACCATGGGGCCAAAGAAGCCCCCCTAGATCCCAGGTCCCATTTCACATGCTCCACCCACTGCTGCTTGCACGCACACTGGGAAGAGACACACCGATGACTCTCCGACACCCCCCCCCCGCCTGCCCACCCCCAACCCAAGAGACCACGGGCACCTGAGCTGACTTGCCAGGCCGACCCCTGGAGCGCCACCCTCTTCTCAGCTAAAGCCCTGGCGCTCTCGACATGGAACGATTCCGGCAGGGGCGCAGACTGCGTTTCCATCTCTTCTTCCTCTTCTTCCTCCTCCTCCTCGGCCAGGTCTTCCTCTTCGACGGGACACTCCACCCTTCTGGCCCTCTTGTCCCGCTCGCGGGCTGCCCCGCTCCGCTTGGCTTTCCACTGCAAGTTCTCCACGGTATAAATGGGCTGCTTGCGGAGGTCTGCGGCTGAGCCCGGGCTGGGAAGCGAGTCGTCTTCTTGGGTGTAGATGGAGGTGAGGTAGAGAAGTCTCTCCTGCGTCTCCGAGGGCAACGGGGGCTCCATGCTCAGCAGAATCCTAGGAGTGAAAAATCAAGCCGGGGCAAAGAGGATCGTTCTAGAACGGGTATGAGGCTGAATCAGAACCAGAGGAGCTGGGCACTTTCACACACACGAAATAATACGGCACTCTCAATCGGCTTTCAATGCCCTTTGTGACTGGATTGTACCGTGTGAATGTGGCCAAGCCTCTGGCAACCTTCCAAGGGGTGAGAGCTCCTAAAAGCCTCAAGAATTCCACCCAGTGTGGCTCTCCCTTCCCTGGTCTGGTGTCCAGAAAAATCAAGAGGAGCTTTCCAGAAAACCAAGCAAGTCCATGACGGGGTGCAGGAAAGGTGGGGCAGGGGTCTCTAGGGCAGGGGTTTCCAGCAGGGTAACTGCAGGCCCCCTGCTGCCCGCTGACACCCCCCTCCCAGCGCCTGCCAAGGGTCTTTAGGAAGTGGGAGGGGACAGGTGGAGCTTTTGCCCAGCAAAGCTTGGGGGGGGTACAAATAGGGAATTGGCCAAAAAGACTCACACAACCACTTTTAACTTTAAAAGGGGTAATTTTTCTGATATGAGGGGACATGTGGGGAGGAAACTGAAGGGAAAAGTAGAAAGGGTCAAAACCATTGGGGAAGCTTGGAAACTGTTTAAAACTACAATTCTAGAAGCTCAAATAAAATATATTCCGCAGGTTAGGAAAGGCACAAACAGGTATAAGAAAAAGCCTACATGGTTAACAAACAAAGTAATGGAAGCTGTAAAAGGTAAAAAGGATTCCTTTAAGCGGTGGAAAGCTAGTCACAGTGAGGCTGATAAAACAGAACACAGGCTATGGCAAATAAAATGCAAGTCTGTGGTCAGGCATGCAAAAAGGGAATATGAGGAGCATATAGCAAAAAATGTAAAGACCAACAATAAAACTTTCTTCAAATACATTAGAAACAGGAAACCAGCCAGGGAGGCAGTGGGGCCCTTGGATGACCAAGGGGTAAAAGGAGTACTGAAGGATGATAGGGAAATGGCTGAGAAGCTAAATGCATTTTTTGCCTCCGTCTTCACTGTGGAAGATGAGAGGTGCTTGCCCACTCCAGAGCCGCTGAGTTCGGGAGGGGTGTTGAAAGACCTGAGTCAGATTGAGGTGACGAGAGAGGAGGTCCTAAAACTGATAAACAACTTAAAAACTGATAAATCACCAGGCCCAGATGGCATACATCCAAGAGTTCTGAAAGAACTCAATTGTGAACTTGTGGATCTCCTGACAAAAATATGTAATCTCTCCTTAAAATCAGCCTCCATTCCTGAGGACTGGAAGGTAGCTAATGTCACTCCCATCTTTAAAAAGGGTTCCAGAGGAGATCCGGGAAATTACAGGCCTGTCAGTCTGACGTCGATACCGGGTAAATTGGTGGAAACCATTATTAAGGAAAGAATTAGTAGGCACATAGATGAACAAAACCTATTGAGGCAGACTCAACATGGGTTCTGTAAGGGAAGATCTTGTCTCACTAACCTGTTAGTGTTCTTTGAGGGGGTGAACAAACATGTGGACAAGGGGGATCCAATAGATATTGTTTACCTTGACTTCCAGAAAGCTTTTGATAAAGTTCCTCATCAAAGGCTCCTAAGCAAGCTCAAAAATCATGGGATAAAAGGACAAGTCCTTTTATGGATCAAAAACTGGCTAATTAATAGAAAACAGAGAGTGAGTATAAATGGGCAGTTCTCCCAGTGGAGGGGTGTAAGCAGTGGGGTACCACAGGGATCAGTACTTGGTCCACTGCTTTTTAACTTGTTCATTAATGATTTGGAGATGGGAGTAAGCAGTGAAGTGGCTAAATTTGCGGATGATACAAAGTTGTTCGGGGTGGTGAAAACCAGTGAGGATTGTGAGGCACTCCAAAGGGATCTGTCAATTTTGGGCGAGTGGGCGTCAACATGGCAAATGGGGTTCAATGTGGCCAAGTGCAAGGTGATGCACATTGGAGCCAAAAATCCTAACTATAAATACACGTTGATGGGGTCTGAACTGGCAGAGACTGATCAAGAGAGAGATCTTGGAGTTGTAGTAGATAACTCACTGAAAATGTCGAGACAGTGTGTGACTGCAATAAAGAAGGCCAATGCTATGCTGGGGATTATTAGGAAGGGTATTGTAAACAGATCAGCCAATATCATAATGCCGCTATATAAATCAATGGTGCGACCTCATTTGGAATACTGTGTGCAGTTCTGGTCACCACACCTTAAAAAGGATATTATAGCTTTGGAAAAAGTGCAGAAAAGGGCAACTCGAATGATAAAAGGGTTGGAACACTTTCCCTATGAGGAACGGTTAAGGCGCTTAGGGCTCTTTAGCTTGGAGAAACGACGACTGAGGGGTGACATGATTGAGGTTTATAAGATTATGCATGGGAAAGAGCAGGTAGAGAAAGAGGTACTTTTCTCCCTTTCTCACAATACAAGAACTCGTGGGCACTCCATGAAATTGCTGAGCGGTCAGGTTAGAACAGATAAAAGGAAGTACTTCTTCACCCAAAGAGTGATTAACACATGGAATTCACTGCCACAGGAGGTGGTGGTGGCTACAAGCATGGACAGCTTCAAGAGGGAATTAGATAAGCATATGGAACAGAGGTCCATCAGTGGCTATTAGCCACAAGGTATAGATAGGGACTCTGGGGCAAGTGGGGGGGGGTCAATAGTGGGAGGGCTTCTAGTGTCCTGGCCCCACTGCTGGCCCCCCTGAGGGCACCTGTTATTTTTGGCCACTGTGTGACAGAGTGTTGGATTGGATGGGCTGTTGGCCTGATCCGACATTGGCTTCTCTTATGTTCTTATTGGCCACTGGAGATCTGATTGGCTGGGCAGGTTTTTTATAATGTTGCTTCAGCCATGTCAGCCTTGCTGACTCATTTGCCATGGATCTGGGGAAATTCCAGGGGAGTGTGCATGTGTGAGAGTGAGAACGGCTTTATTGTAGGGCAATACGTCTCATGTAACTTCCTGAGGACACCTTCCTCTCCCAGGGATGCTGGCCAGATGGCCTGGGTCTGTCTCTCTGCCTTAGCTGAGATAACAAAGGGATGATTTACAGGGGGCGGGGTGTGTGTGTGACAGGCAGGCTAGTTTGGTGGGAATTATGGATCAATGTGATTGGAGGGGACTACGTTTGAACCAGGTGCATAAAGGAGGGTTTTCGCACCAGAATATTAATTCTGACTCAACAACATTCTTAGTTGGGAACATCCTTATTCTTCAATACACAAATCACTTTCCGTGCGTGTTGTTGAGAGTAACTTTGTCCAAGAGGCTGACAAGAAGTGGCTGGCACCACAGCACCATTAACACATGGAAATTCACTGCCACAGGAAGTGGTGGCGGCTACAAGCATGGACGGCTTCAAGAGGGGATTGGATAAGCATATGGAGCAGAGATCCTTCGGTGGCTATTAGCCACAAGGCATAGATAGGGACTCTGGGGCAAGTGATGCTCTGTATTCTTGGTGCTTGGAAGGGGGGCAACAGTGGGAGGGCTTCTAGTGTCCTGGCCCCACTGCTGGACCTCCTGATGGCACCTGGTATTTTTGGCCACTGTGTGACAGAGTGTTGGACTGGATGGGCCAGTGGCCTGATCCAACATTGGCTTCTCTTATGTTCTTATGTTGACAAGGGTTTTCACTGAGTGACCAAAGGCAAGCTGTGTTTATGCAAAAAAATACTTTTAAACAATATATTCATTTAAAAAGGCATCCTGTTCTGCCTGAACTGTGGAAGCGTTACTATTAGAGTTATGTGTGCTCTTATTCTGTGACATTTTGTGGTTGGTTCTGCCTCCTCTGGCAGCCACTTTGTGGTTAGCTCCACCACCGGTGGCAGCCACTCTGTGGTTGCAGCCATCACCCTGTGTTGGAACTGCAGAGTCATGAGGGTTGGGGACCTCAGCTCTATGGGGATGAAAGCACCAAGCCCTTCAGAATCCATGAAGGCAGAACTGGACCTACAGCAACGGGAAGCCAGGGCACGCCATCTGCGCCCGGAAAATACTCCGAGGTGTTGGAGCCACAGAGCTCAGCTCTTCCCACCCAAAGTCTGGGCCAATGGAGTGAGGGGTCACTTACAGATGCAGGAGGTGGGGACTCGCCCAACAAGGGGCTTCCAAGCAATTCTCAAGGAGCTTCAGCCACTGCAGTGAGACACGATGGAGAAAAAGCACCGGAGAGGTTTTGTTTCTGTTTTTGGAGCGCTTGGAAGAGCCCTTGGACTTCTTCTCTTCAAGCACAACCGTGGAAGAAAAGGAAAACAAAAGAAATTTAAGCTGGCATAGTGCAGTGCGTAATGAAAAGACCTGGGCACTGCCTCCTCCTGATCTTGGCCTCACCTCATCCACCTGTAAAACGGGTGTGAGGATGGCTTATTTCACAGTCTAGTTTATTCCTTCCTAGAAGGAAATTAATCAAATTGCTGCTATTTCCTACCAGCCTTCATAGCAGGTAATGCTGGCTACTTGTCAGTTTCAAGACAAGGATCAGTGGCCAGAAGTAACCTTTACTTAACACACCAGGCAGCCAAGCATCGCTTTACAAGCCTGCTCTAAACACTGTGAAGCAGAGATTCCTCATTCCGATCTCCCTAAATCCCAAATTCTGATTGCTTTAGCTAAACTGTCATCTTCAATTGGGATCTGCAAAATGTATCCTACTGAGATGCTGGGATACACAAAAAGGAAATCATAAAGGCTAAGTCACAGAGGAAGAAACCAGATGAATCATCAGCTGGTTCAAAGACCTTTCAGTGCACGCTAGTCTGAACTTCAAGCACCCAAGATAATTTCCAGTCAAGGGGTGGTTTGGATCCCAGTCACAGAATCTCACTGGATTCTGCACACGAACCCATTGAGGACCCTGTGGCGGGAGATCTCCTCTTCTAAGTCCAAACCCCCCAAACTAAGTCCAAACCCCCCAAACTAAGTCCAAACTCAGAGTGTCTCTGAGACACTCACTGGCTTGCTTGTTGGTCTTCAGAATCTCCGTGATCCAGCTGATGAGGTACCGGGTCCGGAGCCCCGACTCCCGCGCGTGTTGTTTCAGCTCGCCGAACATCTTCTCAAGGAGGATCTGCGTGAAAACGCTGGAGTGGAGGCCCGTCAGCAGAGGCTGCCAAAAGCGAAGGAAGGTCGGGGGGACTCTGAAGTCCCACTCTTTGGTTTCTGCAGAGCGTGGCCAAAGGGGAGAAACAGGTCACAGTTCTAAAAACAAGCGAATGAGGATGACACAAAACAACTTGCTGCCACCCCCCCCCCGCATTATTCCTTTCAGGTTTCCAGCTCCAGTGACTGGATCCTGTTTTATTCAGAGATAGCAGCAGCCAGACAGCAGCCGCTCCTGACAGATGGGCAACCCTTGTCTCAAAACATTCACCATTTCCATCGCCTGAATTGGCACTGCCCCCCCCCCCAAACACAGTCAATGTGTATTTCCTACCTTCAGGCTAACATCTAGTGCGGGGGTCCCCAACACGGCGCCCGCGGGTGCTGTGGCATCTGCCCACACCTTTCCTGGTGCCCACCGAGTGTTTTCAGGAGGTGGGCGGGGCCAGGTGGGACGTTTGCCCAGCAAGGCTTCTGATTGGCCACTGGAGCTTTGATTGGCTGTGAAGATTTTTAAAAGTGTGGCTCTGGCGGCCGCCGCCACCACAGCACAAGGATCTTCACTGCATGAAGGTGAGCCGAAACAGCGGTTCTGTGGCTGGCTCCGCCTCCTGCCGCTACGCGTTTGTGGTAGCCATTTTGTAGCCGTGCCCACCACAGTCTGTTGGGATTTCAAAGGTGCCCACAGGCTCGAAGAGGCTGGAGACTAAGGAGGTTGGAGACCCAGGGCCAGACTTTTCCTGTCAGCGGCAAATGGATTCCCTCCATCGTGAGGGCATGTGCCTACCGACGCCGGTCCTTGGACAAGCTGGTGTGGAATACACCACTCTGCTCAGCTAAGTGTGGGGCCGGCCTGCCAGGGAGAGGGGGAGTGACACGATACCAGCCTGGCTACTTAAAGCCCAACTGTCAGCAAGCTGCCAAAGGTTCTTTTCTATGTGTATATGGTCACCCTGAGTTCCCCCCCCCCTCCGTAGATGCGATTAGCTTGTCATGCGCACATCTCCCCAGTAGCTGGGCATTCCTTTCAGAGTACACCAGTCCTGCTTTCATGTAACGCTATCTCGCCAAGGCCACAGGTGGAAGAGCAGGGGAGCTTTGCTTTGTCTTTAAACAGCAGAAGCCGTGGGAATAGCATACCTATTTACAATTAGGTAGCCGTTGCTTTCCCAAGGTTTAGGCGCGCGGGGGACCCATGTTTATTGGCTATTTTGATTATGAACTTGCTTTAACCTTTCATGCCTCTTGGGTTTCCGTTATTCTGAACAGTGACCCTGTTCAAGTGCTTCATGGCTTCAATAAAGTAAAACCTGCTAGTGTGTACTACATTGTTTGCTGTACTTGAAAAACATAGCTTGGGCCCAGCACACCGCTGAAAGCGCTTCTCTGTCCTTTGGCCTGATCTAACATGGCTTCTTTTATGTTCTTATGTCTGGGGCAGTGATGCTCTGCATTCTTAGTGCTTGGGGGGCCACAGTGGGAGGGCTTCTGGAGTTCTGGGCCTGCTAGTGGACCTCCTGATGGCACCTGGGTTTTGGCCACTGTGTGACACAGCGTGTTGGACTGGATGGGCCACTGGCCTGATCAAACATGGCTTATCTTATGTTCTTATAGATGGAACACTCTGCCTGGGGCAGTGATGCTCTGTATTCTTGGTGATTGGGGGGCCACAGTGGGAGGGCTTCTGAACTTCTGGCTCCGCTGGTGGACCTCATGATGGCACCTGGGGTTTGGCCACTGCATGACACAGAGTGCTGGACGGGATGGGCCTTGGGCCTAATCCAGCATGGCCTCTCTTATGTTCTTATGTCTGGGGCAGTGATGCTCTGTCTTCTTGGTGCTTGGGGGGCAACAGTTGGAGGGCTTCTGGAGTTCTGGCCCTGCTGGTGGACCTGCTGATGGCGCCTGGGTTTTGGCCACTTTGTGAAACAGAGTGTTGGACAGGATGGGTCATTGGCCTGATCCAACATGGCTGCTCTTATGTTCTTACAAACATTATGTCTTTTAAGTAGCTCAGAATAGCACAAGAGAAGGGAACGCCTAAGAATACTGGTGAGCATACGCACTGTGACCTCAATAAGGTGCTTGCTCTATCCAAATTCCATCCTGAGGGCTTTATTTGTCTTATGATGTCTGCATTTGTATAATTGAGGGTACCTGGCTCTTTACTGCAGGGCGATTTAGGGGGATGCAGAGCTGGGCCTTCTTTACAGTGGCTCCTGTCTTGTATGGTGTTCTGCCTGGGGTGTCCCACTGAGGGACATGCATTTTCTTTCACTCATTTAACACATTCCTTTGCTGCCTCTCCAGGGGGAGAAAAATGCTTGAAGCGACTCTCAAGATTAAAAAGTTAAACTAAGATGAGCAATATTAAAAGCAGCATTTATAAAAAAGGAGTCAAAACAAGGCGACAAGAGCAACAGACAAAGGAGTGCACATATTTTTTTAAAAAAAATCACACAATTCTCCAAACATGTGGGCAAATTATAGTTTTCCCGGCAACTAACAGTGAACAGCCCTGACCTGGATGAAAGGAGACCTGACTCTCAAAAGTTCATACCCCAAAATGGGACATACATCCACAACTGGTGGACATGCAAAATAATCAAGTCACATTGGGAACAAATAATATCAGAAATTGAGTGTATAACAAAAGTCACTTTTCCTCTAAGCCCAGAATTTATGGGAAACTTTAAAAGCTTCTAAGCCCAAGAAAGGTCTTATCATAACAATGGTCACGGTAGCAAAAAGTATCATAGCCTTAAAATAGAAAGATAAAAGCGCCCCCACGACTCATATCTGGCTCAGAAAGCTGTGGGATTACTACATTATGGAAAAAATATCAGGGGATATTCAATGCGCAGAGACACAAACTAAAGATTCATATGTAACTAATAAATGGGCTCCTTTTCTGAAGTGGAAATTACAGCAAGATAATTTGTTAAGACTCGATTTCACGGGCTAATTTTAGTTCTGTTATGGCAATTGAATAACTATCTGAATATAGGTTTTTTTCTTCTTTGGAAGTGGGAACTACAGCATGACAACTAGCTAGACTCCATTGCAGGGGCTAATCCTGCTTTTAATCCTGATTCCATCAGGTCAATTGACTAACTTTTTAGACAAGTATCATAACTACTGTAAATAAGTATTATTAATCTTGTAGTAGCTCACGTTATGTTATGTTTGTGCTCCATCAAACTGCACAACGAATGCAGCCTAGGTGGATTGTGATGTATGTTATTATTGTTAATCTTTTTGTTTTATATATGAAAAAAAGTTCATACCCCCAAAATCTTGTTGGCCCCTCACATCTAGTCTCTATCCCTGAAAAGCTTCGGCACTTCTGGGACTTCCACCTGCAGCAAGTTAAGACTCCTTGAGGTAAGACTTCATGTTTTATACAACTGGGCCTGGCAAAAAAGGTGTCTTGACCCTTTAAAAGAGGCTGGCTGAGCTGCAGTTGACCAGGTGACACTATTCACCTCCACGGAAGAGTCGCTGGCCTGCTCCCACACATCCGGCCACTGTTCAAGGGAGAGGACTTTTCTTCTCCAGGCCCGTTGGCAACTGAGCCCAAGGAACACCCACCCCCTTCAGTGCAAGCAGGGGTCATTTCGTAGAAAAAGCAGTGCAGGAGCTCATTAGCACAACTCATTTGCATATGCCACACCCCCTGACATCACCGGAAGTGTGTCAGAAGGCAACACCCACTGCTCAGGCTCCACTGGACTCTTTTGGATTGCTAGCTATTGGGTGGGGAGGAATGTGCAGATCTGTCCTCGCAGAGGAGGGAGAGCTTGTACCTGAATAAAACTTGGTCTTAAAGGTGCCACTGGACTGTTTTGGGCCGGGGGACTGGGGGGAGCTTTGCAACTTTCCTGACTGCTTCTTGCTCTGACTGAGGGCTGCTGGGAGCAGGGGGTGGGGCTTGTTGCATGTGCCCGCCCCCTGGGTTCTTTACTGCCGGAGCTCTGCTCCTGTGCGCTCCTGCAGGAAATGACCCCTGAGTGCAAGCGACAGCGAGACGGGACACTCACCTTGGAGGTCGACGTTTAAGGTCTGCAGGTCTTCCACGGATGGGATGAGGAGACCATCCCGGAGCATTGCTCCCGTCACCACCTCCCTGGCACAATTACAGACCCTCGTTAGCACGCTCATCAAAGACTTTGCACTGACACGTAACAACCTCCCAGCACTCAAAACACTGCATTTCAAGAAGAGTCAGTTGAACTCCAAGAAGAGTCAGTCACATGGATACTACAAAGAATTGGAGGCATTTACTGCAATAATCATTTTTAAAAATGCAATAAAGAGATTAATTATGTTAGCACGGTAATTTGAGCTCGCTGCGCTTGCTTTGCTCCATTTTTTTTTTGTATTCCTCCCCCAAGAGCCTTTTAAGAGCCTTTTTTCTTGCCAGATTAAACCCTTCTATGATTATGAAAGGCAGATATATCACGTTACCTTATTTGGAACGGTGCCCTGACCTAGATAGCCTAGGCTAGCCTGATCTCATCAGACCTCGGAAGCTAAGCAGGGTCGGCCCTGGTCAGCATTTGGATGGGAGACCTCCAAGGAAGACCAGGGTCGTGATGCAGAGGCAGGCAACGGCAAACCACCTCTGCATGTCTCTTGCCTTGAAAACTCCAGGGGTTTTGGCTTAGACTGAGTCGACTGAAATTGAATCCGACGAAGATGGAGGTCCTGTGCCTGAGTCGGAGCGGTCCGAGGGTAGGGATCCCACTCCCGACCTTCGATGGGGCGCCATTGGTGCCAGCGCCAGAGGTTAGGAGCTTGGGAGCGCTCCTAGACGTCTCCTTAACAATGGAGGCCCAGGTAGCAGCCACTGTCAAGTCAGCCTTTTATCATCTTCGGCTGATCAAGCAGCTGGTTCCCTTCCTTGAACGCAATGACCTGGCAACGGTGATCCATGCAATGGTCACCTCGAGACTGGATTACTGTAATGCTCTCTACACAGGGCTGCCCTTGTCCCAAATCTAGAAGCTGCAGCTGGTGCAGAATGCAGCCGGTGAGGCTGTTGTTGTGTCCCCCTATGCGGGAGCACATCCAACCTGCGCTAAAAGCACTGCACTGGCTGCCTATAGCATCCCAAATTCGGTTCAAGGTGCTAGTTCTTACCTTTAAAGCCCTATATGATCAGGGTCCTACATACCTAAGAGACCGCCTTTCCCCACATGTTCCCCAGAGAGCACTACGGTCGGGGTCCCTAAACCACCTGGCCCTACCGGGCCCCAGAAAAGCCAGGCTGGCTGCAACAAAGGCCAGGGCCTTCTCGGTGGCGGCTCTGCACTGGTGGAACAAGCTCCCGGAAGACATCAGGGCCCTGCGGGACCTTTTCCAGTTTCGCAAGGCCTGCAAGACGGAGCTAGGGAGCCGCACCCAAGCAACTATAGCCCTGGCCCAACATTAACATCATTGCAAACAGCCAAGTAACCCAGACTATGATGTCAGCCATCTGTTAACCGGAGAAAGCTGCTATGTCCACCACCTGATACAAACTAGCACTTTATATTTGTATATTTTATAATTATACCCAAACTGTATCATCCTGATTTTATTCAACTCTTGTTTTAATTGTTTTACATCTCACTGGGTGCGTTCAGATGGGCCGTTTAGTCCACTTTCGGCCCACCTCAGAAATGGATTTTATCTGCGCGATCACACAGTCAACATCTGCCTCCCGTCCCCAGCCGTCGCTTTCCGGCTCAAAACCGCTTTAACCCGGAGTATTTTTATACTAGGTCCCCAAGTGGTGTTTTCCTGATTCTCCGGTTCCAGCCGCACTTTTCTGACGTCTGATCGCTCCTTCGGTGTTGAGCCACTTCCGGTTTAAACTCCCTCCCCGCTCGAAAGCTGCCCGAGGCTTCCGCTTTTCGCCCGCCATTTTAAAAAAAGCGTTGGCGGTGTGCACATCCCAGAGAGAGAGGAAAAAACAACACCGACGCACGCTCCCAGCATGCTGTCTGACCGCACCCTATGCCAGCCGCCCTGAGCCTGCCTTGGGGGTGGGATATAAATTAAACAAACAAAACAGCTGTGACTTGACAGGAGAAAAATAATTCAAATTGGACCCATTTGCGTTCCTCCTCTGGTTTGACTGATTCTCTAGCACACGTTATTGGAATGTCTCTTTTACGAGGTTCTTAGACTGCATTACATTATTCACCTTTTAACTGATTGGCCTGGATTATTTGTGTCTGGGGTAATACTCTTTTTATTGAGTAGAAGGGATCTTAAAGTTACACTAGCAGTTGCAAGATTTATTCCAGTCCTATTTTAAAACGCAAATGGCACCATAAAAGCCAAAGAGAAGCACTTTTCAGTGAGACGGATCAAGGTGAGCAGCCACGCTCGTCTGCCTAGCAGCAGAAAAGAGCAAGCAGCCCCTTGGAGACTAACAAAATCCGTGGCAGGGGAGGAGCTTTTGTGAGTTGCTGCGTGGAGTGACTCTAGAAAGCTCCTCCCCTGCCACAGATTCCGTTAGTCTCTAAGGTGCTACTGGACTCTTCCTCTTTCCCGCCACTTTTCAGCGAGACTCTTGTTGATGTCGGCTGGTTTTAACGCTGCTGACAGTTAAAAGTAATTTGTCATTTTTTTAAAACGTTCATTTCGTGGGTTCCTAACAAGTTCACCGATTTGCTTTTGCAATTAGCACAAAAGTGATCGGTCTCTTTCTTCGGCACACGACTGGCAGGCGAGCTTCAGAACTGCAGCGCCCAGGAAAGCAGGATGTGTTTACGTGGAGGGCAGTGTTCCCTCTAAGCTGAGTAAGTGTGAGCAAGCCCTCAGTTTTTTTAGCCTCTGGCTTACACATTTTTGTCTCCGCTCAGGAAGGAGGGCTCCAGAGCAAACTCATTTGTGCAGCAGCCAAACTGCTCGTTCACAACTTTAATGCCAGTGGCTCACAAAGTAGAATTGTTGCTCACAAGGCTCCAGAGCTTAGAGGGAACATTGGTGGAGGATAATTAAAAGTAACGGCGTAATCCAATCCAATTACCTTTATTGGCATTATAGCTACAATTTAAAGATTTACCCCTCACCCGAATAGTTACTCTACGTGCACCAGATATTTTACGTGACCTCCTTCTGCCATGGCGGCTGGCTAATTAGTTGCCGGAGTTTCTTTGATTCAGGATCTACTATTTGGAGAATATTTCCAATCAATTTACTAGATTTATACCCTGCCTTTCTCCCCGAAGGGGACACAAAGCGGCTTACATCGTTCTCTCCCCTCTCACCTTTATCTTCCTATGGCATACCTGTGAGGGACGTGAGGCCGGGAACGCGAGACAGGCCCAAGACCCCCTGGATCAGATTGACTAGCGAAAGACCCTCTTCTGCCCTGCATTCCCGCGATGGCTTGCAAACCGACTGGAAGCTCAGAAAGGACCATTCTTCCATTTCCAAGGCTTACTGCCGCTTCCCCTGACCTGCCTGGCCCAGGCTGACCAATCTCCTCAGATCTTGGAAGCTAAGCAGGGGCGGCCCCGGAGACCACCAAGGACGTCCACGTCCAGAGCGGCTATCCTGAGGCAGGCAATAGCAAGCCAAACAGCAAGACTCTTAGCTTGAGAACTCTATGGGGTCGGCCGCAACCAGTGCTCCCTCTACGCTGAGTTGGTGTGAGCTAGTTCACAGTTTTTTAACCACCAGCTCACACATTTTTGCCTTTGCTCCGGAAGGATGGCTTCAGATTTACTAGAGCCAGGGCATTTTCGGTGGCGGCTCCTACCTGGTGGAAGGAGCTCCCGGAGGAGATCCGGGCCCTGCGGGACCTTTCTCAGTTCCGCAGGGCCTGTAAGACGGAGCTCTTCCGCCAGGCCTTTGGATAGGAGCCGCCGTCGTCACTATTCCATCTATACCCCTATGCCCTAGCGAATCTAACACCTGTGGTTCCATCTGGGTGCGAGGTGACCCTGGAAGGAGAGGGTGCTGACAAGTTGTGGGACCAATACCATTTGAGGAAGTTCTACCCCATCTTGCACTGACACTTTGTTGCTGTACTGTATTGTTTTATGGTTTTAGACTGTTTTATCTGTTTTAATTCTGGCACTTGTGCCTCGTTGTTAGCTGCCCTGAGCCTTCGGGGAGGGCGGGATATCAATCAATCAATAAATAAATAAGATTCATTGCCACAGGAGGTAGTAGCAGCTACAAGCATGGACAGCTTCAAGAGGGAATTAGATGAGCATATGGAGCAGAGATCCATCAGTGGCTATTAGCCACAAGGTATCGATAGGAACTCTCGGTCTGGGCCAGGTGATGCTCTGTATTCTCTTGAGGGGGAGTACAACAGTGTGAGCGCTTCTAGTGTCCTGGCCCCACTGGTGGACCTCCTGGTGGCACCTGGTATTTTTTTGGTCACTGTGTGACAGAGTGTTGGACTGGATGGGCCATTGGCCTCATACAACATTGGCTTCTCTTATGTTCTTATGTTCAGAGCAAACTAGTGTATGCAGTAGCCAAATCGCTTGCTCACAACTTCAATGTGAGTAGCTCACAAAGTAGAGTTTTTGCTCACAAGACTTCACCGCTTAGAGGGAGCATTGGCTGCAACTTGAAAAGACCTGCCACTTTTGAGTAGATGCAAAATATCTAGAAGTTATTGTTATTTACTGGTAACTATTTCTATAACAAAAATAGTGAAGTAGAAGAATGCCCAAAGCAAGAGATGAACCACAGATAGCTCCCCCCCGCCGCCTCCCCCCCAACCAGAGACTGGGAAACTCCTGCAGTGAGAAGACAAGAGACGCCCAACATCTGGGTACTGCAGCTGAAAAGCTATTTCAGACTTGAGGTTTTAAAATTTATGACCCTTCATGAGCTGCCTTTTCCCACTCTGAAACTGAGGAAACCCTTGCCAGTGAAATGTAGAACTGAAATTTCAGCATTTATTTGGTCTCCGGGCCGACTCTCCAGATGACGACCCCGCTCCGGTGACTGCCGGGGGGGAAACCCGCCTGCATCTTCCGCACACGCAAAAACAAGCCTTCCCCCCTCCAGAGCCTTTTAAAATGATATTTTATTAAAGCTTCCATAATTCGGCTTAGATAAGATGTTTAAACGATCCGGCATTAAAAACCCCAACAATAGTATTAGTAG